ATTTAATTTTCTTCTTCTTCTTCTTCTTGTTATTATTATTATTATTATTATTATTATTAAAATCTGCATTTCTCTTAATCAATAACGTTGGAGAATTTTTTAATGGATATATTATTATTTTATAATCAGTAAATTTTCACATTTTTGTAAGTGGTTGTGTCCTCAGCACCAACAAAGTATCAACGTAATCATCTTGATCACATAAACAGTTCGTTCTTCATGGGATCTGTAACCTGCGAGCAAGCTCTCAATTTGGGGATCGAGTCGCGAGAATGGCCAGAAATGGGAACTTACTCACAGGCTATGCATGGAAGGGCGACCTGCCAGCACTTGAGTATCGAAATCACCATTCATTAGGGGCACAAAAATATAGGGTAAATTGTGCTTCTTTCCCAGGCTTCTTTATGTTTCGCGTTTGGAGCCAGATCACTAAGATCGAGGCATGTAGGATCATGTAAGACTCCGAATTATCTTACAACTGTTCACCGGTTGCTCATGTTATTCCCAGACTAGCTAATAGTTGACCTTGCTAAACACTGGCTTAATATACCAGTCAATTCCAAAACCGCCCATGCCGCCCCGGGCAAACCCCCAGGCATCAATGACTTTTTTTAAGCATTTTTGTCAAATTCTTCGGTATGTTGGCAGTTTAGATGGTCAATGCCATGCCAATCGACTATTCAAAATTGTCCCATGCGACAAAACATTTATTCAAAAGTAATATCTAGTGAACACGGAAAGCTGTCTTATCGAAGTTTGTTTATTTCAATAAAATTGTTCATTCCAGAAAGCCCACATTCAAATGCTTCAACAAAACAGTGAATATAGCAGCAATGACCCTTGAACGTGACGCACATGCTGAATGCAGAAAGAATTACGAAATCCTTTTGCTTGCGACGCTGACCAGCGTTATGACACGAAAGTCAAATACCCGACTGTGCTGGCCTCATTTTGGGTCAAGAATTCCCCACTGTAAGGAGCAAAACTCCAGTCAAATGCCCGTGGTATGCCCGGCTGAATGCGGGGTGCCTTTGGAATTGACTGGTTCATAGCGGTTCATGGTAATAGGTCATCGAGCAGATATACAGTTTGAAAATACAGTCAGTGATATCCCGATATCATGACGAAATCTCTGTATAACAAATGCCATTCTTCGCCCAAATGCAGGTATAGGTAAAACCATATCTGGAACAGAACCCTGTTATAACTTACTACAGCCCGATAACCAACAATTGCCTCAGTCCCTTGCTGTCTATCCGTTAAATCATGATCGGAGTTTTAGAGTAAAGCAAGTGAACCATCCTTCAGAAAACCCGTCATAAGTATGCGACTATACTAGGTACATAAAAATGAACGCCAGAGGTCTTACGGTTCATGCTCAGACTATTTGCATGTGGGTCATTTCGATAAGATCTTTCTTTTTATCAAGATTATGGTGAACAAGAGTCAGAGAAAATTCGCTGCTACTGCTATCTTCTGGGATTGGAAAAAGAATATCTTGCCACAACCTCATTGTTGAGGCAAAAGAAACATATCGACTCTATTGTCTCGTGTTATTCGGATTACTCTGAGTTGGACTGATCTCCATGGAGGAAAAATTATATAAAGTCGATAAGGTTGGTAAGATCATCATAAGTAACTAGTAATTAAAGGCTTCACGAAAGCCCGGTTTGATCAGACAAAGGACGCTTCTTGCACCCGTCACACTGTAGGCTACGTTCATTGTATGTTCTTTATTCCTGGCATTGACCGCGGCATGGTGCGTCTTCACGAGTCTTACTCATTAATTGAAATATGTTGATTATGTGATCAATAATACAAGGGATCTGGAGAGGACCACTATCCCTGGCCCTCTTACGGATGACCTGAAGTTTTTTAGCGAGTTTATGAGTGTCCTTTTTCAGGAATATATGTGAGCATTTTCCGACAGACAATGTTTACCAAAAGTTTTTTTTTCCCAACAAGGCTATATACCACAACTAAAAAGTGCCTTACGAACAGAATTTTTGCCATGACACAGCCTTGCTGCAGCAAAGTGTAGTCAATTCAGTCTAAATCTAATCTAGGATTAACTTGTTGTAGATACCAGTCTAAGACATTGTAATCCAAAATCTCGTTGAAGAACTCTGTCGGTAGATTTCTATCATAAAAATTATAGTTTGCTCACATTTAAGATAAATGTGAGGCGATAATGCAAATCTGCTGTGGAGTTTTATATGCATGCAGTTTGTCATAACCAGATTTAAGTCTTCATCACGATATCTGGAGTTGTCAAACTAAGAATCCTGTGTATTTAGTCATAGTCTCTCTCTCTTTGTCAAATTGGCAAAGTTCCGTTACATGTTATAACTGTTTACGGTATGTTTTCAAGTCTAATCACCTTACGGTAACCGACGTAAGTGGAATTACTTTCGGATACCCTTTGGGAAATATAAACCTTTTCCGAACCGATCAGCAAAAACGTTCTGGCCTCCTTTTTGTTAAACATACATTCAAGACGCTAAACAAGAAGTTTGATTCTCAAAAGTTAACTAATCGATATTAACAAAATGCGGTTTTCTTTTATCAACAGCGATTATGATAAGTCCATTTTGATCACAGGTCCGCTGGGAAGTTTAGTCATACAATGTCATGCAACGATGTATAATACAGAATTATCTTTTTAGTATTTCTTCCACCTTAACTCCGTTTTCTATTGCTGGCAAGGACGCATTTTGATTCTTACACCCGGTTGCGCCTGTTTTTTTTTTTTTGTTTTTTTTTTTGAGCAAGCGAGATGGTTGGTTATGAGATTTCACCAAAATTCTCTCTTGGATCAATGTTGGATTTCACTGAATATGGCGCCGGCTAAATTACTTTGATTATGAGGACAAGATAAATTTTCAAATAAAGACAAAATATGAAAAAACTTATTTTTGGTTGGTTGGTTTTTTGTTATGTTTATTTATTTGTTTGTTTGTTTTTGTGTTATGATTATTGCAGTTAAGACAACCTTTTACACTGGAGTTTATCGTTTTGGAGTTTTCTCTTGTAAAAAAATAAAATGATCCAAAAAAAGATTTGGTTTGCTTTATTGGTGCTTTGAAAAAGAGATAAAACAACTCCAAAGGAAGGGTGGCTGTATAAAACTGATGAAATAAAATAAATTGAAATGCTTTTCGTTAAAACTGCATGATGCTTGTTTGCTAATAAACTCACCTTAAACAGGTACGTAGGCTGGATCCTAATTTTCCTTTTCCTGCCTTTCGGCGAAATCACGGCCTATCTTTCTGCATCAGTTGCACGTGTACACGACTGAGTAACAGAATTCCCACTCTGTTGTTACATTTCTCGGCCTCAAAGTTTAACAAAAAGAGAAAAAATGTAGACAGACAACAAACGTGTAATCGCAAAACATTATTAGTAAAGGAATCTCCGCTTTTTGCACGCATGACGGCGTTGAAATAAGAGGCTTACAGAGCTCTAGTTTCCGGTTTAGTTCGTGACTGACACTAATTTTTTTTCGGGAAATTTCGGCTGCTCAAACGCTAACGTGCAGCTAGACCGATGAACTAAGCCGCAAATGTTTTCTTTCTTCAGACGGGAACGGAACCGTAATGTATCTCTAGTGGGGAGTTAAGAAAATCCCCCTTAAATCATTATTTATTATTAAATCATTTTAATTCCATGTTTCAATGCATGCATGCCTGAGCTTGCATCTTGCATCTAGCCGGCGAAGTTTATTTCGGTACAACCGATCGCACATACCCTGAGCTTTGGAAATAAAAGCGGAATTGTATCGTTACCGACTGGCCTTTTCTTCCACACCTCAGTGAGCTACTGTACGCAAATTTAAAAAACCTAGGTCAGGCCCAATGTAGCAGCTTTCATACATATATTTTTTTTTTGCGTCGTTTTGCTTTGCTCGCTGGAATTTTATTTACCAAGCGAAACGAAAACACAGCCTGATCTCAAGATATAAAACCCGCTCTCCCGATTGACGTGAAAATTGTTTCCGTACTTTCATATAGGCAACACAACATTTGATGCGGTTATGCAAAATGCATAGTAGTATAGTTAAGATCATCGGATCAAAAGAAATATCTGTGAGGAGCTACTGCCTGTACTGCCTTCCAGCAGGCATATGCACAATTCTATTATAAGGGAACCTATAACTTACGGGCGTCTAAAAACAAACTATCACTGACATGTTTTTTTACCTTTCCCTTATAGAACTTATACGATCAGGTCGAACGTCGTCAAAGCAAATAAACATATTACCAAACATTACAACAAATTTGGCCCAAAAAACGAATCTATGTAACTGAAAGGGCCAATAAAAGCGCTCTTTGGGAGGCGAAAATTCCCAGCCGGCAGATATATTAACCGATTTGTTTTATTTTTCTCGATTAATCTTATCTAATGAACTGATCGTGGGCTTTACAACTATCTCTACTCGTTATTTTTAGAATTTGAAAAAGTAGATAAAGAGAGAGGGGTGAGAGCGATCTTCTCGGTTTATGGCCGTTTTGAACAGAGCGGCTGGTGCTAAACTTAACCTTGGTAAAATTAAAGGTGTTTGGTTGTGTCCGTGACGTGGCCATTTGGATGCGCCTATCCCCATCAAGTGGACTACTGCTATGATTTAAGTCTTGGTAAACGGTAATCTGGAGGAGGAAAACTGGCGGCCTCCAATAACTGCAGTTGAGAAATGTCTGAATTCCTGGCGTGGTCGCTCTCTATCTTACTATGGAAAAGCTTAATTTAATTGTTAACGCTCTGGCCCTTTCCAGAGTCTGGTATATAGTGTCCCTTATTCCTATGCCTGACTTTCGTCCGAGCTCAATACTCGTGTCTTTTCTTTCTTTTGGAGTGGCAAACGTGACCTGGTTGCCAGAGATGTAGTCTATCAGTCTACTTGTCAAGGAGGATTTGGCGTTGTGTCGGTCCGATACAAGGCAGAGGCGCTTTTAGCCCACTGGGTCCGACGTTACGTTACGGCTCCGAATGCGTGGGCCCACATGATGACTTTTTGGCTTTTTGATCCCTTTGGGGTTGATCCCCAAACTGTGCTTGCTACTCCGTCTCTTTTCCTCTTGATTGTATCAGGCCTTCCTCGAGTGCTTTCGCATGCTTGGACTGCCCTTCATGGCTCCTGGTCAAAGGCCGGCCTGGTTACTGGTTCTGCTGACACCTCCTCGTTACTCAGGGCCGACTCCTTGACTTGCAAGGCCTGCTATCAGCTTCTCCTGTCCTTAAAACCGGCACAGCCTCACTGTGTCGTAAAATTTCGCCCTGTTTATGGTGATCTAGACTGGGATTCTACCTGGAAGACTTTGTTTTTCATGCTTTTGGACAGGAAACTCATTGACCTCTGTTGTCCACGGTGTTTTGTACACTGCTCACCACCTTGTTTCTTTCGGACTGAATGTTCCTCTTGATTATCTCTGTGGCCACTCTGACGAAACTCTAGAGCATTTGTTCTTCTGCTGTCCCCTGGCTTAGAGTGGTCTGGATTGGATCCAGTTCTTACTCGTCCGGTCCTCTCCTTTCTGGCACCAGCTATTAGCCTGAATTTCATCCGATTACTTCGAGTCGTTCTTACTCCCTCAGTAACGTCTGAATCGACCGGCCGTTAATGCCGTTCAGTGACGTCACTACTCCTTGACCTTTGCTTTAATTCATGCAAAAAGTAAAACACGATTTTCAAGTGGCAAACCGAGAAATATCGTTTGGAAATGTCTGCATGAAACAGAACTGCTTTATTTTTTTCGATCGTAATTCATGTTTAACGTTGAAACTATCAACTGCATGCAGTACAACTCTGAACCGGTTGTACTAAATCCTATAATTAAACTCGTTCGCAATCATGCAATGAAATAAACACACACACGGAACACTTAATTCAAAAACACAATGATTTGCTTTAATCGAAAAGAGGCTATTTGGTGCTTAACGAAAAAAACAAGGAGACAAGAAAAAAAAGCTAACAGAATCATTACACTTGACGGTAAAAATAGCAAGAAGGTCGAATTATAACATTGATCTCAGAAAACTTCGCGTAAACAAAATCACCGGCCGCCGAAACCACAAAGCGGCTCTAAATGGAAAACCTACCGACTCTCCGCAATGATTCTTCATTCGCAGTTCAATTTAGCATTTCAGTTTCGAAGACAAGGGCAATTTTGCTGTTTAAGATAAAGATTAAGCGTATTGAAATGTTTTAACTAAACGAAAGAATGCCATGGATGCGATCCGCTGAATAGCAAGCGACAATCCCGCTAAAATTTTTCATAATTATCCATAATTATGCGAATGGTTAGACAATCAACCAATCAAAATCACTACCCGGTTTTCGGGTAGTGAGTGACGTCACTGGACGGCATTAACGGCTGGTCGATTCAGACGTTGTTGAGAGGAGAAAACGACTCGAAGCAGTCGGATGAATTTCAGGCTACAGCTATTACTGTACGTCATGTTCTCTTAAGTTTCATTACATGTAGTGACGAACTTTTTCGTGTTCCTCGTGTCTTTTGTTACCTTCTGTCTCTGTTAGAGTTTTTCGTCTGGTGTCAAGGTAATGACTATCGTTCTCGCTCAAAACCTCCGAGTGCCGCGGGGCTCATTGCTAGTATCAAGGGTCGTCTGTCTTTTTATTACTTCGGCGGAGCGCGAAGTAAAGGATTCGCGACGCTCAGGAATGTATCAAAGTTACCATTTTTTGACAAGATTGGGCATGCAAAGTCTGTAGATTTTCGGTTTTATTCGGCTATTTGACGAAGTGAGAGCCGAATTAGTTCGAGATATCTCGAGATCACTTCGATTTCTTTGATTTGTTCTTTAACTTTTTCGAGGAAGAAAGAATTACTATTTTGGCTTTCCCGGGGTTTGAACCGACTCACCTGTGTGACCAGTCAGGTCAGAGGAGACTCTAAGTAGAGGGATTAGCCGATTGCGCTACTGCGACCCAAGGTAGTTCGGTATATGAAAAATATATAGTTATGAAATTATGCACTAGTTTCGGGACAAGATTGGGTGTGCAAGTTCGCGACTTTTCGGCTTGTTTCGGCTATTTCACGAAATGAAACCGGACTACTTTGTGATATCTTGAGATCACTTGGAGTTTAGTCTTTAATTTACTCGAGGAATAAATAGAGGATATTACGTGGCCGCGCAGACACACGAAATTTCTCTTCGAGTGTTGAAAAATATTTCACGAGTGAGCCCTCTTTTCGAACTGCTTTATGATGAATTTAAAGTTACAAAATGCTGCACAAAGACATTTTGTCTTTGTTGAGTGCCCGGGGCGAGGGGGTACTCCCATACATTACCTGTACGGGTATGTGCCGCCCAACGGGGTCGAGATTTTGAAGCTCCTGATTTAGAACGGGGTATCCATTTCAGTGGCGTTTTCTAGAACGGGGTATAAAAAATTGTGGATCACGGCTTTATCTTCTGCTTAAAATTGTTGCTGATTATGAGGAAGCATTTATTTGATGTATAAGTCGAACAAATAAAGAAATATCTTTTTTAAAAAACAGGCCTATTTCAATTTACGAACTTTCTAGAACGGAGTATAAAAAATTGGCCCATTTCTAGAACGGGGTATCAGTTTTAGGGCGAATTCAAGAACGGGGTATAAAAAATTGGCCCATTTCTAGAACGGGGTATCAATTTTAGGGGAATTTTTTTTTAAAACGGGGTGCCAATTTGGAGTCCCGGGCGGCACATACCCACCCAAAAAATACCCAAGTGCCCCCCCCCCGGGGTTGAGTGTTACGTAGTAAAATTGCTTTCATGCGTTGCGTGACTTTCTCGAACGTTCTCTACTTTTTTGGGTTATTCATGAATAATTAATTAGGGCATGTTTACATTTCAAAATGAGTCAGCAGATTTGCATCAGTTACTGAAATCATAAAATATGTCGAAAAGCTACTACTATTCGCCCGTTTAGTATTTTCTAGAACCTTATGTCAAACGGTATACAAGTTCCAAGCGAGGTCTTTTGACGAACTAAGTTTTTTTCCCACGAGCTGGACTGCTGTGTTTAGTCAAGTGTGACGAAGGCCGATTTTCAAGTTCTGTGTTTACAAGTTGGCGGAAGCCGTAAGATATCTGAAAGTTCAAGTGAGAGTTTGTTATTATTGGTAGAGGCTGTTTAGTTGTACTGAAGTTCAAGTCAAGTTTGTGTTGGCGGATGCTGTGTTTTAAAGCTCTGAATTTGGTATTAAACTTCCTTGTGTTAATCCGACATTCCTGCGTGCTGATAGTCAGTGAATAATTATCCTCAAAACACTCGAACTCGTAACAGCCAATTCCATGCTCAACGTAATTGACTCCTTACCCAAGCCTTACATATCTTTAATCAGTACATGAGACTGGTATGCTATTTTTGAAGCCTGATGTGACTAAGAAAAATAGAGAATTCCTTTTTCACTGTTTGTTTTGTTAGACTTGTTATTCACCGCTAGTAACCTCATATTTGACTTAGGTCTAAACGTTTAGACCCAAGTCAAGCATGGAGTCATCAGCGCATAACTGGGCTAATATCTCAGAGACAATTTGTCCCGAAATGCTAGTTTTTGGCAAGTAGGCCTCTTGGATGTTGCTCTTTTCAGAATATCCTGACAAATCCCATAATTTCACAAATTAACACCTTGCTCTTACCATATTTCATTTCTTACTATTCCTCCGCATTTACAATTAATTAGTTCCACAACCACGACGCCGAAGTGTACGCTCCGTAGCGTCTTGTTTGCCCTTGCTTTTCAAACGTCGGTTCTCGGCGCAGGTGTCTTTTCTTCCAACGTTATTGGGGAGCTAATGGCTGTATCGGTAAGGTCCTTGGTGACTCCTTCCATCTTTCTCTTTCCTAGTGCTAGTCCGAGCGTGTGCGTCTCCCTCTCCCTTGGTCTCCTCAGTCGCCTTTGTTTTGGCTGTAATGTGGCCTCTTTGGGATTGGCCTTCAGTTTGCCCTTCTCTTTGCCCCCCCTCCCCCCCCTTCCCCTCGGTCGCCTTTGTTGGTTGTACTGCGGCCTTCTTGGCTCTGAGTTGGATTTGCTTGAGTGTGTGTGTCTTCCTTCTCTTTGCCCCCCTCGGTCGCCTCTGTTAGTTGCACTGTCTGTTTTGTAAAAAGTCTTTTTATGCTGTATATAGTCTTCTTGTAGTATTAGTTTAACTAGTTACGCGGCGGGGTTCGATTCCCTGGCGAAGTTGGCAGGCTAGCTGCATATGGAGGTGCCCCCTCCAATTTTGCATGGCGGTCTTTTACCCCTGTAGGTTACCCTGCTTTGTTTTTCTTTTTGTCGGATTAGTATCCCTCCCTTCGTTTTTATGGCCTCGGGGCATCGCACTACGCCCCTCGGACCGCCAAGATACAAAAAACACGGGTTTTCCCGGTTCACTGACCGACGGCTATGCCATGCTGATGAGCCCCAGTAAGGGCGAAACAGCTGTCCATGGCTGTCACTGTCCGAATGATATGGCTGTGCGCATGCGTGAGGTAATGGCTAGGCCGTGGGTTTGTGTATGTGTGTGGACATGTGTGCCCCTTGCTTTAATTTACTGGAACTAGTGATCCACCTTCCCAGTGCCTTTCCCGCGCATGCAGTTGCAGAACTGCTGTGCGGTTCCCAGCCAACAGCTCCCACATGTGTTGTGTGGAGCTGGCGCTTGATAGACTGCTTTAAACTCACCATGGCAGTAAGGCGGGTTTTCCCCGTTTATTAACTCAACGGCTTTGCTACGCTGGTGAGCCCCATTAAGGGCGAAACAGCTGTCTGTGGCGGTCACTGCCCGCGTGATTACCTAGGTTGACGATATCATTCGTACAACAAAACCATTTCTTCTCCACAAATCTCTAATGGCTGTGGTCCACAATATGTTTTCTCCTATGTTAACTGTGTCGAGAGTAGCCATGATTACAACACGAGAACCTCAAGAAGAAATGATCGTATCACGCCTAAGTGCAAGAAAATTTCAGACCTCAGAACATTCCATTCCAGTGCCACTTTTCTTTGGAGCAAAACTGAACCATCTCTGACAGACACGCTTTCACAGAAGCGCTTTTTAAGGTACCTCCAAAGGAAAATTATACTGGAAAACTCTCTTACTGCACATTTTAATATCAAGTATCAAGTATCTACTCCAGTTTTAGACTTTTACTATTTAGACTAGCTTAGGGGGGCCATTAAGTAAACTACTGAGTCATCAGAAATTGATGTTACCCTCGTTAAATAAAGTGTTCTTATTAGCTGCAATCTGCAAGGCTTTGTAATAGTTTAATGTTTTTTGTTTTTAGTAGATGCTATTCATGTACTTGCCTTGCCACGCCACGACTAGCTTTCCAGCTATTTGTGGGGCATGCTATTCAACTCCTTGTGCATGAAAAAGAATAAAATTGTTTTGTTGTTGTTGTTGTAGTTGTTTCTGATACAAGATA